AGCAGAAGGCTGTAGCATGTCAGTGTTGTTGGAAGATGGGTTGCATACTACACGGATTACATACATGTGCCATCAGGTGCTTCATTTGGATCATTGGAAACATGCTTTGGAATAGCAGTATTTACATACAAGTTGTGAATTTCATTTATTTGTAAATATGATAGAAGAGATTTATTGTTTGAAGAGTCACATTTTATTTGGCACCCAGTGGATTCATCTGCAAGGGGCCTGAAAGCTGCAATTTTTCCAGAGCCAGCTTAGAACTCCTCCAGAGTAGGACCCCCATGTGTGTGATGGTAAGAAAGCTGGCTACTCTGTTGCATGGGGAGTGGCCAGTGGATGTTTCTTCCACCCCTACCCCACCGTCAGTGTAATAGTTACTTGCCCCTAGACTTGAAAAAAAAGGTTGTTTTGGAGCTCTTTAAGTTTTTTCTTCCCCACTTCTAGCTTGCTCCTTATCTCTGGCATGCCTTACTGGACGCTTTCAAAATTATTTTTTGGAGTATAGTTTGATAATCTGGAATTTACAAAGACTAGACCAAAAGTGGTGGTACTAGTTGAAATCACACCTCAAGATGTAATAATTTTCTTTTTTATGTTTAGGGTCTATCATTAACAGCAGTGATCAAGATCTTTGTTTTGGTTTCTTCTTTATGCTCTCAAAAGTAGTTGAATTAAATGTTTCTGATTGGGAGGCCTAGGTGGGTGGATCACTCGAGGTCAGGAGTACCAGACCAGTCTGGCCAACATGGTGAAACCCTGTCTCTATTAAAAATACAAAAATTAATCGGGTATGGTGGGACATGCTTGTAATCCCAGCTACTTGGGAAGCTAAGGCAGGAGAATCCCTTGAATCTGGGAGGTGGCAGTTGCCCTGAGCTGAGATTATGCCACTGCACTCCAGCCTGGGCGACAATGAGTTAGAATTTGTCTCCAAAAAAAAAAAAAAGTTTCTGAGAAAACTTTAAATTTTGTTATCATCCCTGAAAGTATGAAACATAGGTTAGAGATTCTATTAAAATTTGGTTTCTTAAGCTTACCCAGATGTATCTGTGTTTTTCTTTCTCCCAACCTCTCTTGGTGTTTCTTGTGCTTACAGCAAAATCCTTTAAAAATAAAAAAAAATTTTTAAAATGAAGAAAGTTTTCATAGAGATCGGGTTTCACCATCTTGGCCAGGCATAGCAGCAGGTGCCTGTAATCCCAGCTACTAGGAAGGCTGAGGCAGGAAACTTGCTTGAACCTGAGCAGCACAGGTTGCGGTAAGCCGAGATTGTGCCACTGTACTCCAGCCTGGGCAACTCTGTCCAAAAAAAGAAAAAGAAAAGTCTGTGTATGGCTCCAAGATAGAAAAGAGTATGGAAAAGTGGGTGTTTTAACTGGGACATTTCATCCTATTATTTGGCCAGTCACTGGGGAGAGGAACCTCATGGATTAAAATAAATCGTGACAGCTTTATAAAAAAAGAGATTCAACCAGAATTCTTTTTTTTTTTTTTTTTTTTTTTTTTTTTTTTTTTTTTTGAGACGGAGTTTCGCTCTTGTTACCCAGGCTGGAGTGCAATGGCGCGATCTCCGCTCACTGCAACCTCCGCCTCCTGGGTTCAGGCAATTCTCCTGCCTCAGCCTCCTGAGTAGCTGGGATTACAGGCACGTGTCACCATGCCCAGCTAATTTTTTGTAGTTTTAGTAGAGACGGGGTTTCACCATGTTGACCAGGATGGTCTCAATCTCTTGACCTCGTGATCCACCCGCCTCGGCCTCCCAAAGTGCTGGGATTACAGGCTTGAGCCACCGCGCCCGGCCCTCAACCAGAATTCTTGAGATTCATAAAATGTTAAAGGAACCCTGGAGAGATGGCCCTTCCCAGCCTCTGGTGGCCCTTGTTCTACTCTTGGCCTCCATGAGATCAACTAACTTAGCTCCTACATGTAAGTGAGACGTATGGTATTTGTCTTTCAACTTTGGTTACATCTTGCCACAGGAGGAAGATTTTCTGAAGATACATGATACTCATCTCTTCTATAGGTTAAATGTACTTTTGAGGGCTACCTATTTCTAAAATCTTTTTTTGTGTAAAATAAATGCCAAGCATTTTGTATGTAAAATAAACTACACAAGCAAACTTTTGGCACATAGCTTGCAACTTTGCTTTCCTCTAATGTTTCATAGATTACTTTGGTGGAGCTAATTGTAACATGTAGGTTCCGTGTTCAGAATTTATCACTCTATGACAGAAAACGTTTCAACCCTTCTTTGTGGATCTTGCCTTTACACTGTGCAAGACAAAGTCTGGAGTTCCATCTAGGATAGAGTGCTCCTGAGTGGAACTGCAAAGCAAAGGGGCTGGGCTGGGCCACTTCTGGGTTAGTCATTGTCTCCGGTTAGATGAGATGTTCCTGAGATGGTAGGGTCTTGAGGAGCCAGGCACAGTGAGCACAGTGTAAAGGACCCCTCTGAAGGGGGCTGTGGGCATGGTGGGAACTCAGTCAGGGTTGTCTTAAAGAGGGAAACAGAACATGTGACAAGTTTATAAATAAGAAATCGCTGTTTTTAAGTCTTGTTGCTGTTGTTTTTAAACTACTAGTGAACAAACAACAACCCCTTGACATCATTATTGAAAATTTTTTGGCATATTTGTTTCCAGTGTTAGGTTGGCCGTTTTTTACTTTGTTTATGGTTGTATTTTGGCCAACAGAAGTTTATATTTCTGTAGTTAATATACCTTAGGTTTAGAAATCCTTCCAGGATTTCACACCCTCAGGTTAGTATTGATTTGATTGGTTAGGGAAGTGCCAGGCAAGCAAATTTGTATCTTCACTCACACTCATTACTCTGCCCAGTGAGGAGCTAGCTTGGCAGGAGGATTATAGCTCTTGGCTGTGACAGAGCCTTTGCAGCCATAGCTGGCTGCTAAAATAGGGATTTGGAGCTGTAATGTTGATAGGCAGGGAAGCAGGAGAAAAACTCCTAAGAAAAGGAAATGTATTAATAGTAGAAAAGCAGTGTCAAGATATAATAAGGATACCTCAAAAGAAAAAACATCAAAGTAAGTGAAGCTTTGATCTGGTGAAAATATATTAAATCCTCTGGTTAAAGATTTGTAGAGATGAGTGATAGTACCCTATAAATTGATCTGCATCCTTGATAGCCTTTTCTGGAGTTGTCTGGAAATTTGGAGCTCGTCAGGCCCTTTATTGTTCGACTTGGCATGATAATGTTAAAACAAAACCAAAAAAATCTGGAGAAAGAATCCTTAGGAAGGAAATATTCCAAATAGACTGACTGTTTATTTTTATCAGTCCCTTTTAAATTCAGGGCTTCTGAAAGGAACTGTGTTTCCTTCATCTTTGTATACACAGAAGGACCTAATGTGAGGTGGTCAGAGAGTATGAGATAATCCTTTGTGGCATGAAAATAATGTGTCATATTTATTATTTATCTTAAAAACCAAGAGGTGAGGCTTCACAAATGTGTAAAATATAAATTGACATGCCCGCAATCCGTCCTTTTGACAGATGGTCAGGCGTCTTTTGTGGTACAAGAAGTGAGAAGAGCGAATTGAGTACTCATTTGTCTTTATTGTTTGTATTTCAAAGTATTGCACTTCAGGCAGCCTGGTAAACGACTTTCCCATTCAGATATCTGAATGGTAACAAGTTAGAATGAAGCTAAAAATCTTCTGCAGCACGGTAAGAGCTGAAAAATAGAAAAGGTGACTTGAGCTTTTGTTTGTTTGCTTATTTACAAAAAGGTAAACATACTGTATTGTTTTACAAAATAATAAGTTTGCTACCCTGTTTTCAGTTGGTGGCTATGACCTAGCCAGATTGTGGGGTAATAGTACTTAACCCGTCATTTAAAAGTAAAGGTGAAATTTTAAGTGGAAAAGTAAATGCTTTTCAAAACAAATTCGTAATAAAAAGAGGCTTTTGAAAATAAAAGTTTGAAATTTTGTTTTGTTAATTTTGTTGTAAAAATGTCATACACAAAATCCATATTTACACGCTTGAGAAATTTAGAAAAATATTTTAAAAAGAAGCTTTTATGTTTATAGAAACAGGACATGTGCACATGTATATGTATATGTACAGATGTGTGTTGTGTACATATGTTTTATGTTTACATACAATTTTAAGCTTTTTTTATTATGGAGTACATGTGATAGTTTGATAAATGCATATAATGTGTGACAGCCAAATTAGGGCAGTTGGGGTATCCATCACCTCAAATATTCGTCATTTCTCTGTGTTGAGCATTCCAAATCTTCCTTTCTGTTTTGAAATACACAGTAAGTTATTGTAAACTATAGTCACCGTACTGTGCTATCCAACACTAGAACTTGTTTCTTCTAACTATGTTTGTACCAACTAACCAACCTCTCCTCATTCCCCCTGACC